CAATTGTACGGCGATAATAAGTAAAGATTGTAGTAAAGTCATAGAGAGCATGAGAGATAGAAGAGAGATTGGAATAACAGAGTCGGACACGTTTCATGGTAGCAATGCTCACCTCAGCCTCACTTGGTGGTCCATGTGGGGAAAGAGAGAGAGATTTATTGCTAACCAAAGCTTTTATATTCTCTGGGGATGTGCAAGCCCCCTAATTACAGATGAAGACATACATCACAGGAAAAGGTTGTGCTATAGGTAATACAGTAATGGGAGGGGCGTGATCTAGGGGTATCCACACAATAGGAAGGGGAGGTATTAGGGGTACACATATGACAAGATGGGCAGACCCCAGATTCAGGGAGACAGCTTAATTCTGGATATCACTGAGCAGGTTTGACCTGTTCTCTGACTCACTATAGAGACTTATCAGTAGGGTGTAAACCCCACCTACAGGAGCCAGATGACCGATAGCCTTTAGAAAGAAGTAGCCCATTGTCCTTAACAGCAGGGAGTGGGCCCCGTGTGGTGGGCCCAGACAGTTGTCCGGCGACTGACTGACTGCCTTCAGGGAGGATGTCTCTAAGCATCTGACCTCCAACATGTGCTGGCAAATAGCCTCTAATGTTTGGCATGTCTTTTGGGGGAGACACAGGCCTGGATTCAATTTTGCCTCTGAGGCCTGACCCCCATCGCTGTGACCCCCATCGCCTGTCTGGAAATAAGCGTTTTCTTTGGTTCTAGTCATGCCATCAGACTATGTCGTCAGGAGGGTGGGTTCTAAACGCAATGACTTCCGAGGCCAAAACAAGACACCCCCATGGAGTCGATTCCAACCCGTAGCAGCCCAGCCCTGTGGGTTTCCGAGACTCTTAAACCTTTATTTTTGTGAGCAGACAGCTTCATCGTTCTCTCCCTCAAAGCAACTGGTGGATTCGAACCACCGACTTGGCAGTTAGCAGCTCAATGCAGAAGCCACTACACCACCAGGGCTCCTTGACTTCTGAAGCAAAAGTGGCCCCCTTCCCCCTACACACTGCCATCAACTCAATTCTGACTCATAGCGAGCGACCCTATAGGACAGGGTAGAACTGCCCCTGTGGGTTTCTGAGACTGTCGCTCTTTACCGCAGCAGAACGCCTTCGAATCAATTGCACCTTCTGACAATCCTTGGTGTTCAGAGTAGAACTACTCCACGGGGTTTTCAGGGCTGGGACAGTTCCAAAGTGGGTGGTGTCCAGGCCTTTATTCTGAGACACCTCTGGGTGAATTTGAACCACCAACCTTTTGGCTCGTAAATCAAGTACTTAACCACTGCGCTGCCAGAGCTGGCTTCCACAGGTATAGAGGGTTATCATTCTAGTATAGTGGTTCTCAACCTGCAGGTCTCGATCCCTTGGGGGTCAAACAACCCTTTCACCGGGGTCACCTAAGACCTTCAGAAAACACAGATTTCCGATGGTCTTAGGAACCGAGACATTCTATTCATCTCCAGGCAGGTCCACCCACATAGGAGTACCCAGCATGAAGACTGTTACCCATGTGACACCACGCTTCAAGACAAATTTTCATTGATTTCTCATTAGAAATAAATATTTCACAATACAGAACGACATTATTTTTGTGATGAGTCACTCTGCTTTCATGATGTTCGATTTGTAACAATGAAAATACATCCCGCCCACCAGATATTGACATGATGATTCATCACAGCAGCAAAATGACAGTGATGACGTAGCAATGGAAATAATTTTATGGTTGGGGGTCACCACCACATGAGGAACTGTCTGAAAGGGTCGCGGCATGAGGAAGGTGGAGAACCACTGCTCTAGCATATGTTTGGGGGGAAGAGCATATATTTAACCCAAAACAGATGCATTATGATCATTGCGTCCTTCAGTTTTCCCCACAGCCTAGCCTTTTCACAGAGGGAACGAAGCAGTGAGGTCACTTGTTCAAACTCCTGCCCTGACGTGGCTCAGAGAGCTGAGCCCAGGTCTACCTGACACTCCTCCCCACCCACCCCGCACCACCACCACTGGCCCTACTGTGAACTGCCAGGTGTCATCGATTTGATTCCAACTCACAGCCATCCCGTGTGACAGAACAGAACTGAACCATCCTGCAGAGCTCTGGTGGCTTAGTGATTTCAAGTTGGGCTGCTAACCACAGGATCAGCAGTTCAAAACCACCAGCTGCTTCTCAGTAGAAAGACGAGGCTCTCTACTCAAGTAAAGAGTTACAGTCTCAGAAACCCACAGGGGCAGTTCTACCCTGTCAGGCAGGTCGCTATGAATCAGAATCGACTCAGTGGCAGTGGGGTGGAGATGCCAAAGCCATCGGGCTTACAGGGGAGCCCTGGGCACATTAGCTAGGGCCCTGGCTGCTGGCCCAAAGGTCCGCATTTCCAACCCACCAGCCCTTCCAGGAGAGAAAGTTGAGGCTCTCAGCTTCCTTGGAAACTCCGCATAGGCTCTCAAACAGATTTGACCAAAACCCTTTTCAATAACAAGCATCCCCCTGGCAATTAAAAACGTTTGTACTATAGCCCCTAATCCAGGATCAAGTGTAGGTAGTATCTGCTTCTGCAGCACCCTCTTGGTTCATTTCAAAAGGAGCCCTTGTGGGGTAGTGGGTTATACCAGCGACTGCTAACCGCAAGGTCAGCAGTTCGAAACCACCAGCCACTCCTTGGGAGAAATACGAGGCTTTCTAATCAGATTTAGTCGGATGAGTTGGCTTTGAGTGTGGATCCTCTCAGCGGCCGCAGGGGGTGCTCTCGCCCCCTTGAGGAACACAGCTCCCTGTCTCCTGCGGTCAGGAACGCTTCTCTGTATTTCTTGTTGGCGTGGTTATGCCTTGGGCTGGGGTGCTCCAAGGCCACCTCTCGGGCAAGAAAGACCCAGCTGTCTTCCCACAGGGACAGTTCTGCTAGGAGTCGGCAGCGACTCGATGGCGGTGGGCGTGGAATTTAAGGTTTCGTCGGTGTTTTTCTCCCACGGAGCAAACGGAGGGCTGCGGACGCTGAAGGCCCCATCCAGTGTCCCTTCCTGGGCCCGGGCCCTGCAGGACGCTCACTTGCGAATCGTGATCTCCGCGTACTCGGTGCAGCTGGTCGCCTCCTGCTCTGGCGGCGCCCGGGGCCTCTGGCGCGGGAAGACGAGCGCGGTGTAATGCAGCTCCGGGTCCTGGGTCTCCGTGATCCGGGGGCATTGCAACTGGGAGCCCTGCACCTCCGGGCTCTCCATCGCCGGGAACGAGGAGTACAGCAACTGGGAGTCCTGGGCCTCCGGGTCCTCCATCTCCGGGACCGCGGGGCTGCGGGTGCCCTCCTGGCCGGCCACCTGGGCCTCTCCCAAGATGGGCGTGGCCGGGGCGGGGCCTCGGGGCGGAGCCTTCCGCGGGCCACCCTAAGAGCAAGGGAGAGAAGGGCCTCTAAGTAGGCTGGGGGGTCGGGGGGCACTTTTACATCGTCCTGCTTTCAACACATTAAACCAAACCCAACTCACTGCCGTCGATCCATACCGACTCAGAGCGAGCCAAACCCCTGAGGGTTTCCGGAACTGGAACTCTTTTTTACAGGAATAGCAAAACCTCGTCTTTCTCCCGCGCAGCAGCTGGTGGTTTTGAACTGTTGGCCTTAAGGTCAGCAGACCAGCTCCTGAACCCGCGACGCCACCAGGGTTCCATGCAACAGATAAGAAAGAGTCAGAAGGCCTGGCTCAGGAAGCCTGGCCGCCGGTGGACTGCTAACCACAAGGTTGACAGTTTGAACCCCCCA